CAAGCAGTGCGGAGCCAACGGCCATCATGTGGGTGACCTCGTTTCCAAGAGATTCCTTCATGAGCCCCTCTGGCAGCGGTGACAAGTGTGAGCCCAGGATGAAGGAGCTGCCTGTGGGATGCAGGGCCTACAACCTGGGCTTGTCTCTGTCACCAAAGGCAAAGACAGGCCTGTCGCCTCCTGCCTGCCTTTTCCCACAGTTCCGCCAAGATTCCACTGCCAGATACCCAGAATGTTCATGGGTCCGAGCATTCGTTTGGAGATGGACAGTGCAACATGTTATATTTCTAAAAGCCTCTTTCTGTAAGTCTTTCAGACGTTTCGGTGGCCACAGGCCCTCCGAACAGCAACTGCAGCACCAGCTCTAACAGCAAAGCTGCCCCTTCTGTCCCGCCCTTGGGACCACACACTCTGTCAGAGCTGGAAGGAGCTCTTTCATGCTTTTGGGAAGTACAAGCCTTCTGCTTAAATATCTCTGGCCACAGGCAGCTCACCCCCTCACAGAGCAGCTGTAATCGCAGAGCTGAGCAGTTTGAATGTCTTCTAGGGCCAGACTTCAGACCCCTGTTACATCTTCCTCAGAGGCTGGTCTTCAAGAGTCAGGTCTCCGGGCACCTGGGCGTCTGACTCTTGATTTCGGCTCAGGTCATGACCTCAGGGTCATGGAGACCTGCTTGGGATTCTTTCTCCCTCTGCCCCACTCCCCCAGGAAAGAAAAGTCAGGTCTCAGCCCACACTTCCTCCTTAGTCTTTTCTTCTAAGCTAAAGGATCTAAATGCAGTCATTTGTCTGATGTCGTGGTTTGTGACTCACCACCCCTATTTCATGACTCTAATTTGTTCCTCTTAAATGGAGTATCCAGATGTCAGCTGGCCAGGGGAAAAGAAAAGAGTACTGTGGCCCCTCTTATGTATTTATGCATGCTTTCCTTCATCCAACAAATATTTACTGAGCGCCTACTATGGGCCCTGCACATGCTGGACCCTGGAGTCAAGCCACAAGCTGAGAGACAGAGGTCCCACCTGGTGGATCTTATAGTCCTGGGGCAAAGACAGACATGAACAGGATGAGGAGGTCACAGGGAACTGCGGAAGCTGGTAGCAGGGAAGCCTACTTCTACCTAGTGTGGAGTGGGGAAGGCTTGCCCACAGAGGTGCTCTGTAGGCTACGATGCAAAGGAGTGGGCATCCGGTCGTTGAGGAGGGTGGCATGAAAGGGCAGGGAGCATTACAGGGAGGGGGACTGGCTGGTCTGACGGGCACGAGGAAGGAGGAAGCATTGGGAAGATTATTAATGGTCAGTGTGACTGGAATACAGTGGGGGAGGCTGCCTGTGGCCTCCAGTGCATCTAGAGGGATGAGGGGAAGCAGGGAGTGGGTCACGTGGACTCGTAAGTCAGAGTAAGAATGGCGGATCCTGGTCTAAGGTCAATGGGAAGGGCTTTAAACAGAGTTGTAAAGTGGTCAAAATCGCATTTAAAAAAGAAAGTTTTTGTGACCACAGTGTGGATGGTCAACTAGAAGGAGGCAAGAGTCGTTGCAGGAAGCTGGGCAGGAGGGCATCCAGCGGCGCACAAGAAAGACGCAGAGGTGGGCATCGGAGGTGGCCGTGGATGTGGAGAGAAGTCGGCAGGCTCAAGAGGCATATTGGGGGGGATGGCTAGGACCTGGTGACTGATTGCCGTGGGGCGGGCAAAGGAGGCCGTTTCCAGGAAGCCCCCAAGACTTAAGGTCTCGGGCTGGGCAGAATAGGGGGTGGTGCTGCTGTTCCTGAGAGCTGAGACCCAGTTGGCTGTTTTGGCAGACAGTCTCACTGCCCGCAGCCGAGAAAACCCCTCCGCCCTTTGCACACATGCTGCTGGAATCCTTAGAAAGAGAAAGAGAGCCCCTGCCATGGTCTGCTTCCCCCAACCACCCTGCTGATCCCTCCCGACCAGTGTCAGTTCCAGCCCCCCCGAAGAGCCGCCCTGCTGCCACGGAGCCTGCCACACTTACGTGGTGGCCCTCCTGCCCTCTGACGACTGCCCCCTGCCCCAGATGCCCATCTTAAAAGAGGCTGCTAACGTTCACAGTATGGAATGGCCCCGACAGAGGCTGCGGGCCAGTCCTGAAGCTGGAAGGGCGGGCCCTGTTTGCTGCTTCTAGTCCTCTCTGTGGCTGAGGGAGGAAGATGCTTATGGCAATTGGCTTCAAAGCCCTGGTGTGGCAGGGCCTGTCTCGGGAGCATGCTGATCAGCAAGAATTACAACTTCTGGAATTAGACAGTGGTGATGATTGCACAACTTTGTGAATATACTGAAAAACACTGTACACTTTTAAAGGGGAATTTTACGGTATTTGAACTGTATTGCAATATAAATGAAGAAATAAAGAAAGAAATAGTACATGGAGGTAATTGCTATAAACAGGAGCACTGAGTACAGGTTGATGATAAAGAAGAGAAGCCAAGTAACATCTTCAAAGGCTTTGGCTCCCCTTCGTGGTTTCCTGCTTGGGGACGTTCTCAGCTCAGTGCTCTTCCCTAGTAATTAACTTCAGGCCATTCGGGTTCTTAGCTGTCCTGGGAGTAGGGCAGGAAGGAAAAGTCACTGGCTTCCCTCCACAGGGACCTTTTCTTCTCTGCTTGCGCCTGGGTTGGAAAAGCTTTGAGGTGGCTCTACCCCCCTGAGTGCTCTGGGAGAGCTCACTCTTCCTCTGAAGTTTGGGTGTCTTTGCTAACCGCAGTCTGCCCTACCTGCCTTCTCTCTGCCCTCTGTCGCCTCTCCCTCCCCATCAAGATATCAGAATCTGGACTTTGTGCCCTCTCTCTTACTTTTTGTCTGCCCCGGTTCTCGTGGGTTAGGAGAAGTGGGGGCAACTACCTGGCCTATGGCTCTGCATTTGGTCCCGGGAGCCACTGATGGAGTGACCAGGGCGCCCCCGTGTGGCCATCGGCCTTCTGGCCTTGGATTTTTTTCCACCTGGAATTTCAATGTTCAACTCTGGTAGTTGGGGCCCAACAAAAAATCTGCCCTCCTGCAGATTTTTTTCTTCCCCAAGAGATACATTAGAAATATTAAGACCTGGGCCGCCTGGGTGGCTCAGTCGTTAAGCATCTGCCTTCGGCTCAGGTCATGATCCCAGGGTCCTGGGATCGAGCCCCGCATCAGGCTCCCCACTCCGTGGGAAGTCTGCTTCTCCCTCTCTCACTCTCCCTGCTTGTGTTCCCTCTTTCGCTGTGTCTCTCTCTGTGAAATAAATAAATAAAATCTTTAAAAAAAAAAGAAATATTAAGACCTTAAAATATAGGTGAAAAGAAAGAAAATAAATTAGCCACATAGATTAAGAAATAAAATGTTAGTGTTTATATTCTCTATCTTTATTTTATTTTATTTTTTTGGCATTTTAACACTTCTCTATCTTTATTTTAGAAGAGGCAGTGTGAGGGGCACCTGGGTGGCTCAGTCGGTTAAGCATCTGCCTTCAGCTCAGGTCATGATTCCAGGGTCCTGGGATGGAGCCGTGTGTCCAGCTCCCTGCTCACTGGGGAGTCTGCTTCTCCCTCTCCCTCTGCCCCCCCTCTTGTGCACTCTCTCTTTCACTCTCTCAAATAAATAAAAATCTTTTTTAAAAAATAATTAAAAAATAAATAAAAGATGCAGTGTGCCCTAATGGAAAGTACCATGGCCTGTGGAGTAAACTCCCCAGCTATGTGGTCTCGGCAAGCCGACTTCTCTGAGACTTAGTCCCTTCACATGTAAAGTGTACATAACTGCAAGACCTACCTCATAGGAATGTTGTGGAGTAAAATTTACCGTAGTTAAATACCTTGCACAGTGCCTGCCATGAAGTAGGTACTCAGCATACATTACCCGTTTCTATTGTCATTACAACTAAAGACTACATGGAGGAGTGCCTTCTCTCTTCCGGGAGCTCTGAAAGCAGGGCCAGCTGCCTCGCACAACTGCGGGGGCCCCTGTGTGTGTTGGGGGGCTGGGGCTGGGGAGCATGTGCGTGAGCTGTTTCTGGGGCTCTGGTCTTTCTTGGGACAGCAAGACATTCTACTCTAACGCCGCCCCCGCTCAGAGGTGTGCAGTGCCGGCTCTCTCTGGACACGAGAGAGCAAAATAAAATAATTTTGCAAAACAGGAAAGATAAAGCCAGGAGGGCCAGTCAGAAACAGATGGGGGGGCAGGGCCCGCTCCCCTTGGTAGATAAGTTTGGCGCCCGGCCTGGCACCTGGATAGAGCCCAGCAAGTGCTAATTTCCTTCCCTTCCTGTGCCCTCTTGCACGAGGCCCTGAGCAGAGTATGAACATGGCCTTGGTCTGATCATTTGGTCGTCAGATGGTTTTCTTCCTATGAGGTGGGAGGGCCTGGGGAGGAACCCCCAGCGGGTGGGGCGGAGGGAGAGGGAGACAGCAAGGAGGGGCATGGCCGCTGCGGGGTCGCAAGATGGGGTGTGTCCCTGACCCCCTCGAGTGCAGGGTCCCCAGTAGCTCTGTACCGTCTTCCCTTGTCTGCCATCTGTGTCCCAGGATGGAGGTGCCTGTAGCTGTTTGGGCCCTTGGTAGCTTATTAAATCTCAGTGCCACTTGCCAAGACCTCTTTAAGCTTCCTGGCTGTTCTTTTTGCCTTTTCTGCTCAGCTGTATTTATTCTGAACTAAATGGTCCTCACCGCAGGATGAAAGGATTTACTGCTTAAGTATAAGAAAAGAAATCTTGGCTGCATTACAGTTGCACCCTCTCCTTGCTGTCTGCACCCCACCCCCCCGTATGCTCCATCCACTAGCTGGTGCCACAGAGACTGAACTGGGAGCCTGTCCTTGGTCGTGTGGTTGGCGCAGTTTGGTGGCAGAGTCCCACTGACGGAGAAGTGAGGTGACTGGGACGATCCCTCTCCCGAATGTCTTGCTGTCCCAAGAAAGACCAGAGCCCCAGAAACAGCTCACGCACATGCTCCCCAGCCCCAGCCCCCCAACACACACATCCTCTCATGTTTTCGCCCTCTTTCTCCCTCAGGATTGTGCTCATGGATGACGCCATGGACTGCTTGATGTCTTTTTCAGATTTCCTTCTTGCCTTCCAGATCCAGTTTTACTACTCAGGTGAGAGCCTTCCAGGGCCCCATGTGGGCTCCTGTCAGGGCCGTGTCTGCCTGTCCCACCCCAGTGTCCTTTCCATCTGCTGCCTGGCACACACACTTCTCCCCCAGGCCCCCGCCTTCGGTGGGGGGCCTCACCATGGGTCAAGGACAGGACGTCTCATTCCCACTGGTGGTCACAAGGCTCGGTCCGCACAGCCAACTCCCTCCCTTCCATCTAAGTGATAGCGACAGTAACTAGACCCGTGCACGCTGCGGGAGCACACGGCACACGCGCCGTGTGCCAGGCATGGCACTGACTTCAATGCTTACGACAGCCCTAGGAGTTAGGTCCTCTCGGAGACCCGCTGAGATGTGAGGAGCCGAAGTCACACAGCTGGTGAGTGGCGGAGCCGAGACCGGAACAGAGGGCTCGCTCCAAAGCCAGGCTCCGGGCCCCTCGGCGCTGTTCCTACTGTCGGGGGGCTGTCCCGTGGCCCTGACTCGTGCGTGCGGGCACACAGCCTTTCATAAGCAGACACCAGCCTGTGCTGCTCCCCATACACACCGGCTGTGTCTTTAAATCCCTTCTGGAATCAGGTGTCACAGGAATAGACGAATAAACACAAATGCACACCAGCTCACGCAGTGCACGCAGCAACACCGCATGAACGCTGGGGTCCGAAATTGCTATGTCCATAAACACACTTGTTTAGAATGGGCTCTTCCAGTAAACAGAAGGCTGTCCTTGGAGCCTGGACGTGGCCTCCCTGCCAGCTGGTGGTCCCAGCCAGCCTTGGCCTCTCTCAGGCGCCACATTCTGTTTTCTTGATGGTGGCCCAAGGGCCTGGTCTGGCAGGGGCTGGAGCCTGGGCTTTTGTCACCTGCTCTTAGCAGCCGCAGGCGGCTCTTGCCCATTTCTCTGAAGCTCCTGGGCCCTGGACAAGGGGCAGCCGCGTCTGGGAGAAGCTTCTGCTCCCACCTTTCAAATGTGCAATAAGTTAGCAGCTTGAGGCTTTCTCTTCCACGCTGGCCTTGCACCGCGCTTTCTTGAGGCAGAGAGGCGAGTGGCCTCACAAGCGAGGTGGGGCGAGATGGGGCTTGCCAGCACGAGTGGGCACATGTTCACGCTCTAAAAAATACGTTCAGCACTTAACGTGTGCCCAGCACTGTGTGGCTGCTAGGACAGGAAGGGGGACAAGGCACGATCCCCGCCTTTGTTCAAGGATCTCCCACTCCAGCAAGAAGACAGAGCAAATACCCCCAAAACAAAGGGGTTCAGGGTGCTTGGAAAGTATGGAATCGGGCATCTGCCTGGGCTAGGAGCTGCTGCCCCGAGGAGGGGACGCTGCAGCGGAATGACACGGTGGCGTCCCCGCTCCCGAGGTCAGGGGCTCCTGGGCTGGTGGGGCACTGAGCTCGCAGAGGAGGGACCCCGCGTACCGTCCTTTGCCTGATCTGTGCCCCTCCCCCATGGCGCGACGCAGAGTTCCTGGAGAGTGTGGCTGCCATCTATCAGGACCTGCTGGCGGGCAAGAACCCCAACACGGTGATTGTGCCGACGTCATCGAGCGGGCAGCACCGCCAGCGGCCTCCCCTGGGCGAGGCTAGCGTGCTGGAGGGAGTGGAGGCCTCGCTGTTCTCCCAGTGCCTGGAGAACCTGTGCGACCGGCACAAATACAGGTGAGAGCCGGTGCCCGGGGGCCGGGATGGAGTCTCCGATTGGGCCACAGCCTCGGGGGGGGTGGCCCTCCATGGTCGCACGCTTGCCAGGCTGCTGACGGAAGCGCTTCCCGGGGGGGCCCCCCCGGGGAGGATGCTTGCACGTGGTGAGGCCCGCTGGAGGTGACCGGCCTGGCCCCCTTCTCCTCGCCAGGAGATAGAATGGCCTTGGCTTCTTGGAGAGAAGGGGCATTCACTGTACAAAGAATTCACTCGGCAGAAAGGGAGGGCGAAGCCGTCCTATGTGGCACAAGATCGCCTTAGAGACCGAGCGGCCCATTTGGGTCCCCTCCCAGAAGAGGCTGCTCGCCCTTCCCTTCCTCCCACTCCCCGAGGGAGAGTGCCAGTTAGGGAACATACCAGCCCCTTCCAGCCCCAGTCAAGGCCTTGGTCCCCCTCCCCCAGGGGCTCAGCCCCCCCCACCCCGCCCCGGGGCAGGCAGGGTCCCTCAGCCCTGGCTTTGGGCCCCCCTCCTCAGCCTGAAGCGCTGGATGAAAAGACGGCTCTCGGACTTGCTGGTCTTTGAGGCTGGCTCTGTATTCTCCCTTCCAGCTGTCCACCCCCAGCGCTTGTCAAAGAGGTACTAAGCAACGTCCAGAGGCTGACCTTCTATGGATTCCTTGTGGCTCTTTCAAAGCATCATGGGATCAACCAAGCCCTAGGTAAGCCAGGGCTAGCCATGGCTAGGCTGTCCTGCTCCTCCCGCACGAAGCCACGTAGGAGCCGGTTGCTGTTGGCAGACGTGGCCCCTTGGGGGAGGGGCATCCCCACCTGCACCTTGACTTCTCGGGGTCAGACTTGGAGGCCTAGGGAGCCAGAACGTGCACAAGGAAGACGTTGCCCTCGTAGGCCTCTCACACTCGGGTGGGAAGGGACAGCCTTCCCCACCCAAGGCCCTGCCCCAACATGAAGCCGCCTCTGGTGGCAGGGGTGTGCCCAGCCCCTCCCCACCGAATCCCCAGCTCTGCTTTGGGGAGTGGCCTGCAGGCTGGGCAGACACAGGGCTAGTTACTGAGTGGCTTTGGAGATTATATATCAAAGAGACCTGAATCCCATTTGTAAGCAGGGCAAAGGTGTGTCTGAGGTGGCCTTTTTTCCCAGCTGGGAAAAAAAAAAAAGAAAAGAAAAGAAAAAGAAAACTGATTAATCTGAAAAGGACCAAAAAATGGGGGGAGAGGCCTGCACTGGCCCAGTTTTTCCTGTCTGGTCGTTTCTTCCTACTGGTTGGCCTTCTCCACCCACCCCGCTCTTCTCCCTCTCCCACCTGCTGCTCTCCCAAGGGAAGAGCCACCAGGCCACCGTCCTGCAGAGCTGGAGGGGTTGTTATTTGTCTCTGTCTTCCAGAGGTGTCCAGGTGTGCTTGAGGCTCTAGGTTCCTGAGTCCCAAAGAACACACAGCCTTCCCCTTCCTTTTGCCAGTTGAGAGAAAGGACTCAGGGAAGGAAATTTAATATTCTTTAAATGCCAACCATAGTAGGCCAAGTTGCTTTAGATCTTTCAAAATATAAAGCCTGCTGGGGATGCACACAGGAGCGCAAGCCCCAGCAGGACTGACTGAGGTCCACTGAGGCACGATGCTGCCTAGCAGCCTCCTTATTCTGAATTGATGCTCTGGGGTGTGCACAGGTCTAGGGACCGCTTCAACTAAGTGATGCCAGTCGCCAAGGTCTCTGGCTGGACCAGAGTAGAAAGGCAAATAGGAGTCAGAAGTCAGGAGTAAGGGGGCAGCAGGTGGGGACTTGCTTAGGTTTCCTTTCACACCTGGGTAACTCACCGCCCTCCCTTCCTTTCCACCCATCAGCCCACAGAAGGAAAAGGAAAAGCTAACTAGCATGGGATCGGAGCCTGGACAACGTCATGCCCTCACTTTTTCTAGGGCTTTTAAAAAGGGCAATCACTCCGTCAACCACTTTTACCAAGCACTGCTGGGTCGAGCAGGAGATGGAGAGAAGCATCCGCCCTCACCCGCATCTCCAGTGTATGAAATAGAGATCTGGAGCTACTCGGGGTGCAGCCAGTTGTGGAGAGGGGTGTCCTGTTCCCTTAGTTCTCAAGGCACTCACACACACACGCTCATGCACACAAAATGGGAGGGCTCATGGAACATAGCTTGAAAACCACTAAGAGCAAAGGGGCCAGGGGGCATCATCTGAAAAAGCTTTGGAAAAGTAGGGACTTGAACTAGTCAGATAGGTAAGTTTAAGATTGAGGCTTTCTAGAGACCAGCATTGCTAGCTGCCAGATCTACATTCTGACCACCAGTGAGCTTTTTCCTTCAACGATCTGCTGGTGAGAAGCCTTCTGTCTGCAGACTTCAGCTCCACCTTCCCTCCACTGTTCACAGCTCCAGGGAGAATCCAAGACCGTCTCCGCTCACCTTTCCCCAGTAGTGAAGCATCACTCCCTTCGGTTTGTAGCTGAGGCGAGCAGCTCAGAGATGAGGCAGCTCCTGGCCCGGCGGCTCTGGGCCCTCGGAAGGCACCCAAGCCTCTCTTCTCGCCCCTCAGAGAGTCTCTGAGGAGCCGAGGCAGCATTTTTGACCATACTGTCTCCAAAGTGGGCTCCCTCTGATTTGGGGGGCACAAAACTGGGTAATTTCTGACTTGGGGATTAGCTGGACATACTCTGTCTCTGGCTCCCACGACCTGGGGGTCTCAAGGAAGGAACTGAACCCCCCGCACCAGCCCGCAACCCACCACCCAGTCTTGGAAGGGGATCGTCCTGTGTGTGCAGTGACCTTGAGTGTGAGGACGTCTCATAGCTGTGGTTCCTACCCCAAGCTGCAGAGGGGAGGCATGGGTTCACCAAGTTAATCTAGCAGTAGCCACAACTTCCTGCCCCCATAACAGTCCTCTTAAAACTTAAGAGCCCTTCCCCATGAACAAGGCATGGGAATAAAAGGTACAGCATGGGGGTCATCGGTGACACTGTAATAATGTTGCATGGTGACATGGTAGCCACACTTGTGGTGAGCACGGCATAATGTACAGAGATGGAGAACCACCTTGTACCCCTGAAACTAATATAACATTGCGTGTCCACTGTACTCAAATTTAAAAAAAATTTTTTTCTTTAGAAAGAGCTCTTCTCAAATCTCTTAGATGAGCCCTCCCAGGGTCAGCTGAGCAGGTAGACATGAAGGTGAGGGGCATGGAGGCATCTGCTGGGAATGTGGCTGACTGGAGCCTGCCTAAAAGACGCTCAGATTAAGTTTGTGCCCCCCAATTATCTTGTAGGAGCTTTGCCTGACAAAGGGGACCTGATGCACGACCCAGCCATGGATGAGGAGCTGGAACGGCTGTAAGTGTCAGGTGGGAAGATGCTGCCCCCTTGTGGGGAAGGCCATACGTCCCTTGGACATGGCAGTGCCCTACTGTGGGTCACACAGCGATTCTCCGCAACACCCACGTCAGTCAGGGCAGGGTTTGGGCTCCAGCAGAGGCTTGAGGTAGCCTCCCTTTGAGTCCTTGGGGAATATAGCCCATGGTCTCATCCAAATGCAAGAGTGAACGTGGAGGTCCTGGTCTCTAGACAGGAGGCACCTAGCTACCCTCTGGGCTTCTTCCCTCCTTCAGGCTGGCCCAGGTCCCAGGCCTGGTCAACTCGGCCCCTGCCAATCCAGAGGCCGGCTGCCTGCCTTTCCGGACCCCTCCCAGGGTTGGCTCTCCCTGGAGACCCCTCCATCACGCCCGCAAGGTGGACGCAGAGAGCGACGGTTCCACTGAAGAGACGGACGAGTCCGAGACTTGAGGAGTCTGAAGGGTCCTGTCCACAACGCCCGTGTATCCAGCTCCCACCCAGCCCTTGGGACTCCCACCCAACCTCCTCCCCCACTCCTGTGCCATGCTGCCCTCTGCTGGTGAAAAGCCTGAATAACAGCCCAAGCCCAAAGACCAGCCAGAGGGGTTCCGGTGTCATCAGCCAAGTCCAGCAGTGACCCTGAAAAGTAACAGCCTACTCTCCTTGGCCCTGTCAGTCTCTGCACTTTAGTCAGGACCCAAGCTGACAGCGGACTGAGCGGAGGCCATCAGGAAGGTGACTTTCGCTGATAGTCCCCACCACATAAGGGTGATCTCCTCACAGCAACTCTAGGAAGGGGATACCATGAATAACCGTGCAAGGCCTTGCTTGCATGGTCAAGGGTGACGCCTGTGGTTCAGGTACAGGGTGGACATAAACACGGTGGCCTTCTGCTGGAGGAAGAGCCACAAGCATGAGAGGATGGAGGGTAGGCAAGAAGATTAAGTCCACTTTCAAAAACTGCTCCATGTCCCCTCTGTGTCTAACAGTTCAATATGTTAAATGAATAAAGTCCCTTGTATCTGGTAAGTGGTCAATCTAGAGCCACCAGACTGAGGAGGGGGTGAAGGGAAGGGGCGAGTTTGCGTTTGTGGTGCCGAGTCCCAGCTTCTCTGGCAGGGCTGGGAGGTGGGGGCCGGGGGACCACTGAAGCCTGGAGACCAGCCTCAGATTACCGAGCCAAGAGGGACCCTCCTGCACAGGACAGCAAACAGCCTTTCAAATGTGCTCACGGCTGGAATGGGCCTTCAGAAAACAAGCTCAGAGGATTCAAGGCCAGGTTCCCATAACTCTAAAGAGCCTGGCCCCAAAGGGTTAGCACTGCAGAATCTTTTCTAGCCAGAGTTTCATTAAAAGTTTGCTAATAAGCACCTGCTCAGGGTTGGGGCAATGGGGATGCAGCTGTGAATGACAGGCCTGAGGAAGACAAGATTCCAGCCAAGACTGGAGGAAGGACAGGTGGTCTTCAACTTCCGCGAATTGGCCAGGGGTCACCCAGAAAGTAAAAGCCACCCAGGGACCCAAGCAGAACAGGCTGCCTCCTAAGGTGGGGGTCACCACACTGGGCACACACATTTTCCTGGGCTCCTCTCTGCCTAGGACAGCCCCCACACCCACCCCACCCCCCGATAGTTTCAGGAACTGGCTCCCAAAGCCCTGCAGAGCCAGGCTGGGACTGGAAGGTCCAGTCCTACCGAAGATCCAAGCCCTGTGAACTCTCCAGGCCCACCACCATCTCCAGCCTCTGGCTGATTGACAGCAGCATGGAGATCCTGGTGGGCATCCAAATCACCTGGGGAGCTGGTTTACGACACAAGTAACCAAGTTCTGGCTTGGGGCGGGGGCACAGAAATCTGGATTATGAACACTCCAGATGATTCCAGAGCTGGAAGGCCCAGACCCGCACTTTAGGTATCAATGGCTTAGAGCCCCATGGCCCCTTTGCCCGTCCTTTCTAATCATCCATCTCCCAGACCAGTGATTTACCCCTGTCCTCTGAGGACCTCTAAGGTGGCAGATACATTCCAGGAGCCCCTAGTGGGGGAAAAGGTTACTAAGCTAGGGAGTTCTACACACACACATACATCCTTTCTTCCTGGATTTAAAAGGGTTCCACTAAGGCCGTAGATTTCATTTGTCTTTAAACTCCCCTGAGAAACATGCCCCAGTCAAGCCTCCTGCTGGGATGAGGTGTGGGGCTGCTAGGCTTGCTCACTGGAGGAGTTAAAGGGCCAACTAACACCAGCTCTTTCCTCCGCGTGCAACAGGGTGGTGAGGTCGAGGCTGCACCGGACCTCGTGGCAGCACAGGGCCGAGGAGCCAAGGGCCTTTGGCTTTCAGAGAAGAGACAAGCTGGAGGCCCGGGAGAGCGTGCCCTCAGCTTCGGCACCATCGCCCTGCCCGTATCGGTGGGAGCCCAGAGAGTGAGGCCAGGGGCCTGCACTGGGCAGGGAGGCAGGATCCAGAAAGGACAGTACTTCACTCAGACCGACACGGCCCATTGCCCTGTCAAGGCTTTATTTGACACCACTGTTTCAATACAAACAGTCCAGAAAGAAAGTCAAGTCCCTTTGGGGGAGGGGGCAAAGGAAGAATGGTCTGTGTTGCTTGGGAGCCCAACCCCCAACCCCCCGCGGGCACGGTGGGCCCAGGCTGGCGGCACAGCAGGGGGTGATGGCACCGAGGACACAGTGCACCGCCCAGTGGCCAGGGGGCGAGGCCTGCAGCTCTGTCGTGCCTCAAGCTCTCACTGGGGGTCGGGGGGGTGCTTGCTGTCTAGGCCCCCCCCAAGACCAGGATGATACAGAAGAAGAAAGTTGAGCCCCAAGAGCCTGTTTCTGTCCCTCATGTCCTCTGCTTCCTTGGCCAGCATTACGCTCACAGCATCCAGAGCGGGGCACAGGGCAGGTGAGACCCACCATGGCCACCAAGCAAGGGAAGAAGGGACAGAGGGCCCGCGCTCCACAATGGATGGCATGGGAGGACTCCGAGACACTCAGAAGTACCCGTCAAGGGATCACTGTAAAAAGGGGGGGGGGGCGGTGAGACAGGAGAAGATCACTCGGGCCTCCAGTCTGATCCCAAATGAAACCTTTAGGTACCAGGGAAAGTCTCTAGCCCTTAGTAAGGCCCAGACGAAGGTCCTTCCCCTCCCCTGCCGTCTCCCAGCACGCAGAAGAGGCCACTGGAGCCGCAACTGCAGCGAGTCCAGAGCCTCCCTCCCCCTGGGGGCTGGTCCACAGCAGAACTCTTTCTAGTCGTGCCCACGGGTTCCAGAGGACGGGGGCCAAACCCCAGACAACCCGGAAGGATCCTAGAGCTGGCAAAAAAGCCTTATATGTCTCACTTTCCCTCCTCGGGGAAGGGCTGGACCCAGCAGAAGCCCGCCTGAGGGAACTCCTCCCCCTCTCCCCCTGCTCCCAGGGTGGCCGGACCGGCGGGGGGCAGCGTGGGGAGCAGGATTGGAGGACAGTGTCGAGCACACGCGCCAGGGGTGTGAGGGGAGGAGAATAAAGGGCTCAGTCTACAGACAGAGGTCAAGGCTGGGACCGCCCGTCCCCCTCACCCGAGATCCTCAAAGGCCACCCCACTCACACACAACACATAAAAAGTAACAATTCCTCCCCAGCTTCCACAAGGCAAGCGCCCCTGGCCTTGGAATCATGGGGGTTTTGCTGCTGTTGCCACCAGACGCTTGAGCCGTGGCGCCTGGATCAGTAGGAACCATAGCGATCCTGGACATGGGGGAAGGACAAACAAAGTCAAAGTCTCCCACCTGCAGCAGCATCCCCCACCACACCCCTGCAGGACTAGGGTACTCCGGGGACTCGGGTTCCAATCTCACTACGGCAGAGACAGTTTTCGATTTTATTGCAACTCAGGAAAGGGGCTGTGGCCAGATCCCAAGGGGAAAGCCCTGCCTGATCTTGAAGTTGGGGAAGAAGGAGAAAGAGAGGGAAGATGACAAGGCTGGAGAAATCAGTGCAGACAGAGCACTGTCCCAGGGAGCGGCCCTGCCCCGGTGCCCAGCTCGAAGGAGAGAAGCTGCCCCTCCAGAAAAAAAAAAAAAAAAAGCTCTCTTTCGGGCTCAGGAGCCAGCCAGCAGCAGTGTCTGGAAGTGGTGAAGGCCATCCTCCAAGGACGACTTTCTACTGCTTTACCCGCCTGCCCCAGGCCAAACAGCCCCAGGCTCACCTGCAAAGAATTCATCACACCATTGGCCAGCACCGCCATCTTCCCAGCCACAGACTTGACACCCTGCTTAAACTGGGCAATGTCAGCTGTGGGGAGCACGTTGCCCAGCGATACGCTACCTGTAAAAGCAAGGGAAAGGCGGGCTCAGAGCCCTGTGGGCAGCCCTCCTCAGCCCACAGCGTCTTCCAGCCCTGCTCACAGGCTGGGCCCGGTGTGCACCTTACCCCTGAGGCCCCACCTGCTCCATGAGCTCCATCCACGTCCCCGAAGAGGTCGGAAGAGCTGATGGCGTTACTACCCGAGAGCTGCTGGAGTCGAGACCGGGCTTCATGCTGCAGTGAAGAAACACGAAGGCCTGGGGATCTCTTCACCAAACTCAAAAACTCCTTATTGGCCGAGACACCCTGGTGCTAACGCCCAAAGCAGTGGCAAGGAGTAAACTCCCACTCCACCTGCAGCCTCCAGGCTCAGGACGGACAGCTCTACTTACCTCAGCATCCACCTCCCGCCCAAAGAACATGTCTGATGAGATGGCTTTGGCTCCTGCAAATTTCTGGCGTGCTTCACTGGACTCGAGGCCTGAGCTCCGGCTTTCCACCTCTCTTCTGTTTGTGACTCTGAGGGGGTGGATGTGGATACCTCTGATCCTTCTCATTCCTATCTGAGCCTAGTAGTACTAGTCCCATTACTAATGGAGGCTGAAAACAGCGCCAGTGGCCTCCTGGGGCTGCTCACTATGGCCCCATCTGGCTGTGGCCCTGGCACTCATGGACCCTCTCCCCTGGACGAGGCCCCGCTCTTCTCCACACCGAAGCCTGGGCACAAGAGAGCTAACGGTGCCTCCGCCAGGCCGCGTGGACATACAGTTTAGAGGGGACTGGTCTTCCGCCCCAAACCTCCAGAGCTTCATCAAAGTCTAGGACATCAGAACATCACTACCGCCAGTCTCCTCCGAGTGACAACTGGCCTAACACTAGGGTGACCATATGTCTCTGCCTGAGTTTATGCCGACTCTCCCGGCATTTCACCCTCAAAAGCATCCCAGTGTGGATGTAAAAGTGTCCAGTCACGCCTACCTCCCGCCAACACGTGCAAACCCCGGCCTAGGTGCTTGGTAAGTTTCGCTACATTTAATCCTCCCAGGGACCCTCTGAAGTCAATACTTATGTCCCCATTTTACAAATGATTTGCAGGTCATTTATCAGTTAAGTCTTGCCCAGATTAACATAAAATAAGCTTAAAAAAAAAAAACAAATAACAAAAAACATGGTGACCAGAGACACACAACCCCTGGGTGGTCAGGACTGAAGCATAAAATCAGGCCCCTCTTGCCAGAGAAACAGACCTTGAACAAAAGAAGCTGCTAAGCCTTCTGTGATGATAAAGCACAGCTCAAACCGAAGTCTGATTCCCGCACTACCTGATAGCCACCAGCCACATGTGCCTAACTTATTAATATTAAATTAAAAACCCAGTTCCTCAACTGCACCGGCCACACGTGAAGAGCTCAGGAGGAACATACTTAGCGGCCACCACACCCCGGACAGAGCAGATACACAGAACGTTCCCATCACAGGAAAATCCTGCTGGACTGTGCTGCCCTAGCCCACTCCACCTTTCTGAAATAGGCCGGATGCTTGAGATGGTCACTTCTGGCTCCTTCTCCTCCATCCGGTCCATACCCCAGGCGGCATCCGTATCCCAGCGGGAACTGAAACTTTCCCCCAAGGAGAAGGGGTTGTCCTTGTACCTGGTGAGACAGTAGAGTGACTTAGAAAAGCTTGATGAGGAACATGGTGGCCAAGTCTGCTCCCCAACAACAGCCTTACTTTGGGGGTCCAGAGGCGAAAGTACCAACGTCATCAAACAGGTCAAGCTGCGATCGGGAGGATTTTGCGCTCACGGGGGTTTCCTGCTCGATCACCTGCATCTCAGACAGCGCCGAGTGAGAGACAGAGCTGTGGAGACAAGCAGAACCACCCGAGAGCAGCGGTGAGCAGTGGTGTCGAGAGAAGACACCCCGCTGCCGGCGGGACCCTGGCTTCTCTCACTGGGACCACCCAGAGCCTTCTCTCCGGGCCTGCACCCTGGGCTGGGCCAGACCTAGCAGGGAGTGCTCGGAGCCCCGCGGAGCTGGAGCGCATCCTCAACTGTCCGCACATCAGCTCTGTCTTCTCAAAGCAGGGCTTCCCTGGCAAAGGACTGCTCGTTGGCCTCTTATTTTAATAATGCCGTGCACCAGACGGTAGTCCTCTCAGTCCTTAAAAACTCAGCAGACTTGCTGCACCGTGAGCCATATCCTTTGCCAAGATGGACACGTTCACATGGAAAAGATGCAAAATGCCCCAGAACCCAGAAAAGCAGTCTAATGGTATCAAAGGAGGAATTCTAGACTTCTGATCTCTCCTAAAAACTAGAATACTGGACAGCAATCCTGGCTACAGGGGACTCGTGAGCTCCGCCAGGGGCCTGATTTACTAAGTACGGCAGTCCTGTGCAGGAGGTATTACTAGGTCTTTTTACAGGTGCAAAAATGGACTCCAAACAACTCAACAACTGCCTAAAGTCCACAGATCTCTTAATTGGCGCAACTAAATTTTGAACATAGAACTATTGATTCCAAATTCAGTATTTTTTGCCTTTATCCTCTACTTCTCTGAAAGAAGGCTGGCTATTTCTGCTTAATCTTTTCAAACCACGTGCCAGCCGAATTTAAGTAACTCCATTTCCATCCGTGTGCTACTTGTGTAACCCACAGCTAATCAGGGAAACATCACATTTTAATCCCAGGAAGGACTTTAGATCTTCTCCCTTTCCCTGTTTCAGTCACAGGAATTACTGGGTTAAAGGGTCTGAACAATTTTTTTAGCTGGTTTGTTCTTTTTTGCAGTGCAATAGAATCTTTAACTTAAACCCACCCTACCCTATTTAAAACCCTATTGTAAAATAGTCTTTAGGGTTCTGCCAGCTAAAAGCTGTAGATATTTTGTAATGAGTTTAAGTGAAATTAATCCTTAAGATGCCTCTGTGGAGCATGACACAGGAGGAAAGCGAGTTCTCAGGAGTTAGTACCACCTGCCCAACTCTGCCTCTTCTCACTGGGAAACCAGACAGAGGCCCCGGGACCTGGTGCTGTCCAATATTCTGGTTTTTAAGAGATATCAAAAAGTCTAGTGTTACTGAAACCTCTAGATGCAAGCTCTTAGTGGAGAGCAAACAACATGCGTAAGAGAACTAGTTTGCAGTCCTTGTTTTGTTTTTAAGAAAACGACAGCAACATAAGCCCAGTGGTCCTGAAACGGCAGGATATTGTCAATGCCAAAGGGCATCTGTCTAGGGGCATTTCTGGGTGTCAGCGCGCCTGGCAGCAATGGCGTTTAGTGGGCAAGGATTAGGGATGCTGAGAGCCTTGTAATTCTCAGGGAGGCCTTAAGCAACATCACCCTACCCTTTTAGGTATGTCGAAAAAGCACCCAGTCCTATGTTTCTTTCATTTAACAAACACAGTGAGCACAGACCTACTCTATGACAAACACTATACTAGGCACTTTAAGACAATTAACAAAGCCATCTATCTGTTCAGCCTTGGGGGAAGACTGAGCCTGGAAACCCAAACTCCTGGGAAGAATTTGCAGTGGCTCCCAGGAGAACAGTGGCATTTCCCCGCCACACCCCAGAGCTGAGCCTCACCTGCGGGACACCAAGCCCATGCCCAACCTCTCTGCCTGTTCTCGCTTCTTCCCTTCCAGATTCTGTAGCTTTTTTTCCTCCTTCTTACGGTCAATCTGGAGCTCCTGGTAGGCCAGGCGCATAGAGGCAACCCTGGAAGGAATAAACGTGTCAGAGGCCAGCTCCCGTCCTACCTGCCCACCCAACCCCACGTGAGCCGGGGCCCCTGGGGCAAACACTCACATGGACTCCTCGGCCTGCTTCTTGGCATCAGCCACCTGCTGCTCACGGAGCTTCTCTGCCACCTGGGCCTGCCGCTCCATCTCACTGAAGCTCTGGCTGCTCACCTTCTGGGCCCCCAGGCCTTTCTTGGCACCCAGCTGGGAGGAGAATGATGGGATGGGGGCCTTGCCAACAACCACAATGTCTTGTGTTCCCCACCCCCTCAAGCATGGGTCCTCTACCCACACCCCCAAAGGAAGCATTCCTTCTTAATGTTTAGGGTAAAAAACAGGGAGCCCAGCCAGCATGGGCAAGAGGCAGAAGAGTGGCTCTGCTGGAGCCAGGCACGAGGTGGCCCACACCAGGCCGGCAGAAGCCTCAGGGCCTGCAAACAGCAGGTAATGCTGACCAGGACCGGTCTGTGCCAGGCCCTCGAGGCGCACATCGCGCTGACTCTTCCCAGGAGCCCCTTAAAGACAGACATCTTGACAGCCCTTTCACAGACAGGGTTCAGAAAAGTATTTCTGCCAAAGTCACACAGCCAGTAAGTGGCAGGGTCAAGGGGTGCATCCCGGCTGACGCCGGCTCCTAACCACCACCATACTGCCTCTCTCGCCTACCCCTTTCTTAGCTGCTGCTGGCTTCTTCTTGCCAATGAGGGAGGTTCTCGGTTCTGTGTGAGAAAGAAGACGGGGCAGGAGTGAAGACAAAGGGGGGTCAGAGGTGGTGGCTCAGTCCGTATCATGCAGCTTCTTGGTAAGAGCTTCCACAAAGAACAGCTTCAGGCAGAGGAAGGCAAGGCTGCCACCCACCAGTCCCAACCGATGGCATAGGCAGAGTCCAAGCCAAAGACAGACAGACAAGGTTAGGCGAGGCTCCTGACTCCCAGCAGACTGAGACAAGAACCTGGACCCAAAGCACCAGAGACTGTCACAGTCCCTGAACCAACACAAAGACTACTAGGCAAGGGGCAGGTGTTAAGATACCAGCCTCAGCTCCTACAGCAGGGAGCTGCCATGCAAGGGGCTGGGCTCCCCAAGCAGCTTGGGTTATGGGTTACCTCTGGCAGGAAGGGCCCCTTTAGGTGACAGACGCATGGACTCTAAAGAGAAAGACATAGCTAACAAGGGGCCCACCCCAGAGCCTCCATATAACTCCCAAGCCCAGAGGCCTCTAGAGAGCCTCACTTTAGACCAAGCCATACCAGCCTTTGCATGGGCTCAGTTTTAGTCATTCTGCTAGCCTCCCACCCCAGCCCCCAAGGGTCAACAGAGCCACCGAGGTCAGCCAACAAACTGTTCTAACACTGAACCAAGACTAAAGAACACTAAAGAAAGTAAAAAAAAGAACTGAAAGGCCACAGGCTGGGAAAGGACAGTGTTGTCTCCAGCTGTGAGAGCCGCACCCCCACCCCAGGAAATGGACCAGACAGGCCAGTCTTGCCCCAGACTCCAGGGTTAGGTGTCCAGTCTCATCCTGGCCTCCCCACACTTTGGCTAGACCCAGCTCCACATTCAGAGGCAGCCCCCAGGCCTTGTCCACCAGCTACCGGGTTTATCAATTCAAAGGGCCTGGTTCTAAAGTCCTTGCAGCTGATGCTGCAGCCACAAACCCAATCCCAGTCCCCACTCCAGAGAGATCAGATGCTCAATCTCATGACCTCAGTCCACATGACCAGGCAAGAGCAGACCTAAAAAGAACGCCGGAGGCCCACCCTCTCCCAGTCACCCCGTATCTGCCAGGTGGCATACTGACCCAGACAGGCTTTGGGTGAGGTGCAAAGCAGGTCCATGCTGGGGCCGTGCTCCGGCTCTGTGGATGCGATGGTGGGGGTTAGGTATAAGGCACAAAGCTTGCAGTGACCTCCCCTCAAGGGAAGTGATAGGATAAGAATAGGGAGAACTGGCTTTCTTCAGCTTGCTGAGGGCACTGAAAGATAAAACGAATGCCCACCACTTCCTCCAAGAGATTGAAATGAGTCCTAGCCCACTGAGAAACATAGGAACCGCCCCCCGCCGACACACACACACTCCAACCCCCTTGGCCAGGTGTCCCCTTCCTAGCCCCAAGTCCTCTGCCAATACCAGGGCACCTGATTGAAATCAGGACTGAACTCACGTGCCAGGCTACTGATCTCTGTAGAAGGGGCTAGCTGCTGGGTCTCTGCTGGGTTGGGGGCTGGTTCTTTCCAGGCAGGGGGCTGAAAAAGAAGCCAGATCACAGAAGCGTGGATGAGCCACTCCTCCTGGCAAGGAGCGCCAAGAAACTACAGGTACCTTGTAGGTATGAAGCCCTCCTCCAAGCCCAGGAGAAAAAAAGACCGGACACAAATGAGTAAAAGTATAGCTGCTACTGACGATGGAAGAACAAAACAGGAACTTCGCAGCCACCCCCACCCTCCACTACTTACTCACGAGTCAGAGCTCGTTCCCCTCATTTCACAACTAAACTACTGGGCACTTACCACCTGCCAAGCACAAGTCTAAAGCCTTTTCACATACAAATACACTTAACGATCATGACAAACCCTATGAGGTCGATACAGCTCTTTCAGAGACACAGGTTTTAACAGGTTACGTGACTTAGCCACCATCCCAGAAATGCTAAGGAGAGGAGCAGGAATTCAGACTGAGTCTGACTTCAGCACCCAGTGTCAGTAGACAGGAAACCTTCTGCCAGGGGTGGGTTGCTGGGGAAAGGAAAGGAAATCCTTTCCTTGTCCCCAATCGCAGTACCTTCCTTATGGGGAAAGGATGCAGGAAAAGTCGTCTGGAGCCCCAGACGCCTCTTGAGCTCTCAAGAAGCTTCTCCTCCTCCCTACTATCCCAGTTTATAGGGGTCCATTCCTAAGGAGGGCCACACTGCACACCTACTCATAGGAGGAGGAAACAACCGGGCCTACCCAGCAGTGAGCCGCAGACATTCCCTGGCTGAGGTCTCATCCCAAGGTGAATGGACTCCATGCCACATGATCACAGAAGGCCTTGGCCTGGTAAGTAAGCCACCTGCCAGCAACAATCATGTGAAACATTCCTTGTGGGTACTCACTTGAGTGTGTTCCGTGAAGAAATCAGAGTCCTTCTTCTCTGGGGAGTGACTGGGAGCACTACTCATATTGTCTATCCAAAGCTAGAAGGAAGAAGACACCCTTGAAACACAGGGCTCTGAATATTCCCACTCACCCCACTCCCCTCGCCCCGGGGAACAGGCACTTACATCAGTGCCATGCCTAGCCAGGGCTGCACTCCCCAGCTGCCGGATCTTTTCCCGGTACATCTGGGCAGCTCGGCTATTGTATTTGGTGTTGGCATCACTGGCTGTACATCCATGTTGGCGGAAGAAAGCTGTCTGGAGAGCAAGGAAGAGAGGAGAGCATGCTACAGGTGATTCCCCAGAGCCAAAGAGGCACCCCCTTGTAACAACCGGTTATTATTTATACATGATGAATACATCCTACTGACATCAGCAGTTTTTCACAGAGGTAAAGATCCCCAGAAATGCCTGCAAAAAAAAGGCCTCCCATCCTCTGAGATGACTGACTGAACCTCAGCCCTCACTCAACCCTGCCTGAAGACAGCATGCCATCCCCACGGTGCCCATCCTTCATCCAGGCTCACGAGATCTGGATGACTGTGGCGGCCCCAACTCCTTTAGCCTTTCCCCAAGAACACCTGTCCAGTTTAGTTTGAATCTGAAGTGCATTTGAGAAAAAACAATTTCCAAGTTTAGAGAATAGCGTACACTGTTACTATAGACCAGAAAATCCTCTGAAAAGAGATAATGACAGGGCCTCCTAGGAAGACATTGTAAAGTTAGTACCCAAGCAGAAGAAGAATGGGGGTGGGGAGGATGGTAAGAAGGAGCTTTACCGCATTGGCATTTCCGCCGACCTGCATACACCTCAGCTGGAACCAGTTCCAATTGGAATCCAACTCTGTGGACCTGTGTGCAAGGGCTGCATGTCACCCACCAGCAGATACCAGGAGACGCTTCCCTGGCAGACCCACACCTGTCATTTGGCCTCGGGCTGCAGTAGGCGCCCAGGAAACATTAATCAGCCACCACCCTATTTCCTCCACTCTACTTGGTCCCTGAAAGGTTTGCTCTTCAATTATCTAGTCAAAAGAGCACTAACTATTGTCCAGATCCGAAAGGAGGTCGAATTCTCAAGCACTCAAGCTTGGATTTGGCTTTCCCCTGAAGGACGGTCATAGTCTCACTCCAGACATACTCGACCAACAGATCAGCAACAAGGTCAAAGCAGCTAACTTTTCCCTGAAACTAATACTCGGAGTGTCAAGTTTAACCAACAGGAAAGAAGGAAATTTTCACCTATACGCGGACACAAACCGCCTATGTGGCAAGGGGCCCACACAGGCGGCTCCCTCCCGTGGGCGGCCACCGGACCCCTCCCTGGCCAAGCGGTCCAATCGAGGCAGCCACTCTCCCTTGCTGAGCCCACAACCCCAGCCGGCCGGGTAGAAGCACAGCAGCCGCAAGAAGACCCCACCTGATGAAGCTGAGATGGACGCCCAGGGAGCGGTGCACCCCAGAACAGTCAATGCACAAGAAAACACCATACGTGATGCTGGCCCAACTCGGATTCTTGGCGCCACAGTCGAAGCAGGCCTGGGTGGAGGAGGCGATGAGCCAATGGTCAGGGGCCCCCGAGTCGAGGCCGGGCGCAGACACGCCAGGGAAACAGCCCATGTCCGCCCCTCTCCCTCCCTCAGGCCCCAGGGGAGACGGGAGAATCCCTCTCCGCCAGCGCCGGACCCCGCGCGCCTCCCGCTCGCGCACCTTGTTGGTCGGAATTCCGCGAAGCCGCTTGAAGAGAGTCTGGATTTCGGTCTTGCTTGGTTCCGCCGCCATTTTCTCTCCTTCCCAGACACCAGCGCGACCGACGGGTCCCGTCGCGGGCCAATCCGCGGCCGGGAAGGCGGGGCACCGGCGCGGCGCCAGCAGCGCCCTCGCCAGCCGGAGGGTGGGGCGATTTGTCCGGATCTGGACCAATGAGGGCCGGCGGAAGCGGAGCGGAGACGGCGGTAGCCCGGGACTCTACAATGGTCGCGGGACCCACGCCGCGCCACGCTGGGGCCAACCCGCAGCCAGGGCGGAGCGACGGCTCACCGGCAACCCAAACCTCGCGCGAGCGCCATCCGGACGGCCCGCCACCCCCGGCAGGTGGCGCGACCTCCCGGAAGGTGAGGGCTGCGAGCCTGGGGGCAAGTGGCCGGGGACCTCAGCTGGGGCCAGTTTCCCCGATGCGTGAGTAATGATTAACAGTTCTACCAAGCACTCACGGTCCCACCGGCCTGGACGGGAAGACAAACTGGCTGGGCTCCCGTCCAGCCCAGAACTCAATACCCAGCCTCGAACTTGGCGGGCTCACACCAAGCCCAATCTTGAGTACCTCCCACCCCAGATTAAGGTCCTCAAAGCAGATACTAGCCAGAGCAGATACCAAGCTGCCAAACCTTTGCCCATAACAAACTCTAGGCCCACAGACCTCCCCATTCAGTGCCTCTCCCCAGATGCTTTCTGCAGCCTGGCAAGGGTGGAGTATCAGAAAAGATGCACACACGCCTGACAGTGCCTTTTTTTTTTTTTCCAAGTTTAATACACACTAGAACAAACCACAAGAGAGGGCTGCTAGCCCAGAACTACACTCACCCCAAGACCACCCCAGGAACCCCAAAACACTGAGACCAGGAACTGGGTCCACAGCTCCTGGGGAGACCCACCCATTCCTGGAGAGGCCCAGGCACCCCTGAGCCCTTCTGTCGTCACCTGACCTCCCCACCTAGCCCCTCAGCCTAGATTCAGTTGGCTCTTCCCTACCAGTCCCTTCCTAGATGAAGGCCGATCCCCTCCCTGGGTCCCAGGACTTTCTCCTCAATGGACAGAAGGGCAGCAGGGGCACCATGGTCCAGGGCCCTCAGGTCCGGCGGTCCAAGAGAAGCTGGGCTCTGATGCAAGGTGGAGAAATGCTGCAGAAGGGCTGTCACGGGAGGTCAGGCCCCCACACACTCCACATAATTGGCAGGGTACAGACCAATGCGGCCACTCTGTAGCTGGCCCTGGCACCAGCCCTGCTCATCCTCCTCGCTCATCTTCAGCAGCTCCTCCCCTGGGGGAAAGGGGATTCGTCACTACCCATTGCCCTGGCCCAGCCCCAATCCTGCAATCGGGTCAAGGACTGAGGGGGAGGAGGTGGTAGGAGAACCCAGCCCGGAGAAGAGACATGCCTCAGGCAAAGAGACGTCAAACTCTGCAAGCCACCCCACCCCAGACCCTGAAGGCATCAAGCAGGCCCCAGCTGATGACTTTGAGAGGGAGGTGCGGGCTCAGAGCAGACACTCTTGACTCCTGGGGTCTGGACCCAGAGCAGCCTTTCAGAATCAGACAACTGGCCTTTGGGAAGTAGGCATCAGGCTTCCCTTTTCCACACCCCTGCTCAGGTTGTAAAGGAGGGGAGGGGGTAGCTGAAGGCTGGAGAGGAACAGAAAAGGGGTCCCTGGGTACCTGCTCGGAAGCTCAGCTCATCAGCTTCCTGGCCGGCGTAGTCATAGAGCGCCCGCACCCGCACCCCAGTGGCAGCCTTCCGGGGATTCTCCTCATCCGACCACTCCTCATCCTGCCCACCGCTAGAGAGGGGAGACAGAAGGCGGCAGGCTCAGGGCACAAGGACCGCTTTGAGCAGGAGAGCCTAGGACCCAGGGCCAAGGGCTCACCCTCTGGAAGAACCCTGGGAGAGGCAGGTGGGAGAGAACTGAAAGATCCTAGTCTGACCTCTGCCACACATGCTTGTGAGCTTGGCGCGCTTCCCGCCACCTGGGGCTGATGTGAGCAGTAGATGAGCGTGAATGTGGGAACCACCTGGCAAAGCTAAACCACCATGAACGCTGGCATCCTGACAACTACTAAGTAGGTCCTAAGGTTCCTGGCACCAACTGTCAGCCCACTTCAGGTGTGAGGGGAATGAAGGGAAGGAGACAGAGGGAAAGAGGGCAGGGCAGGGGGCAGAGCTATTTCCTTCCCACAGCCAGGATTCCGGCTCTCACCCTGGGGACCCCGGGGACTGGGGTGGGGGTGCAGCGCCATCTCTTGTGGGCACGATGCTGGTCAGAGTAACCTCATCAGGGCTCCGGCCACCCTTCTCCTTCCTGCTAATTGTCCTCTGTGTATCCAAGGACCACTCCTGTGGGGACAGTGCTTAGGGTCAGGCTGGGCTGCAGGCTGTGGTGGCAGCCCTCATCCCAAGCCCTAGCCTCCCTCCTGAGGTCCAGGCTGAGCCCACCGCCCCTCCCAGCCCCAGCCAGCCCGGAACACGGACCTCAAACTGCGGCCAGTTCATGGCCATGCCTGGCCCGTGGGTGCTGCGCCACCAGCGCAGATCCTCTTCATCACTGGCTGCCTCGATGCCCTGATGCAGGTCTCGGTGGAGTTCATGGAACCTGTGGCCCAAGGCACAACCTCAACCTGGGGAGCCCTGGGCCCCAGTACCCGCCCCCCCAAACTCATTCCGCCTGGCCAGAGCCTGGGGGAGATGGAGCAGACCCAGCATTACCCCCAGGCCTCCATGCCCAGCTCGCAGGCCGTACCTCTCGCTGCTGGAGAGGTCGAGGTGCTGGTGTAAGGTAAGCAGCATATCCTTGAAGAAGAGAAGCCGCTGGCGTTCGGCCGCCTGGCAGCTCTCGAAGGCCTGCTCCATGTCTTCCATGTAGCGAGGGGTGTAGCGATGCAGCTCCGCCAACGTCTGCTCGTAGTGGGTTTTCATCTGGGTGGGAGAGGAGAGGCCTGGTGAGGACCAGACTTCTTCCACTCAGGACTCCACTAGTATTTACCCAGCACCACCGCCGTGGC